CATTTAAAATAGCCACACAGTCAACCTAGTTGTATACCGGTACGTACCTTCTCTAATCACAACAAAACAGGTAATTTCAGGATAATTGAGTTAGACTTAATTTAACGCAAGGGAATACTCCAAAGTTGAAAATTTGACCAGAACGTGAAAAAAATATTTAATTTATTATAATCTTAAAATTTAATGAAAAATCTGATTAATACAATTAGAAGGTATATACTACTTCGAGTATAGTTATGTATATATGTATACATGGATTCATATTTGCGATGTCAACAACCGTGTAAGAATACATCAAGTGCGCATAAAGAGAAAATCACAAATGAAAACATCGTTATATCTTGTGGATGTGAGAATGAGAGGATTTTCTCTTTGCTCCAGGGCATGCAGGACGTTCTAAAAAAGGAAATGTCCTTGCTGGTCCCTGAGGGCGTGCAACACCTTGTGGCGAAAGGCCCCGAGGCAATCGGTGCGCGTCTAGAGGCGTTTTAAAATTACGAAAACGCGCTGCTAGAGCACCCTGCAGCAGAAGATGTCTGATTCATCTGCGTCTATGACGCCACCGTCAGTGACGGATGATTTTTCCAGTGCTAAGCCGCTCATGGTGATCGTTAAGGTCTTTCAGGGGGAAGGATGGAGAGAGTCTCCTGTTCTGGGTAAGAGAGGTCGAGATGGCTATCGTATCCGCCATGCTCCAGACCGAGCAACAGCGCGTAGTGCTAGCCATATCAAAGCTCGGTGGACGAGAGCGAGATTGGGCACTAACGTGCGGCACTTCGGTCGAAGATGCGTTTCCCTCCTGAGTGGAGCTGAAAATGCAGCTCTCACGAGTGTTTTCGCCGCCTAATCAGGAATATCGCGTGCGATCGCGCTTCCTTTCCGCCCGACAGGGCAACAAGGAATTGGTGAGCTTTGTCCAAGAGATGCGCACTTTCATTGCCGGAATGGCAGCAGATCCCTTTCCGGAGGCGGTCACAGTGACCGTCTTTATGAAAGGCCTCTGCACTGGCGTGGCCAGAATGGAAGTCTTCCGTGTACGTCCATCTTCAATTGAAGAGGCGGTGAATGTGGCATTGAATGTCGATTTCAATTTCTAGTTGGCATGACTTGGTTGGAATGCACACATCAACAGCTGTCGAGCGGGCCTATGG